CATCACGGGTTTATTACGAATCAACTTAACGGCCTGCTCCCAGTTGGCTTGTTAGCTCAATTGGTAGAGCGCTGCACTAGTATCGCAGAGGTCAGTGGTTCGAATCCCGTACAGGCCTGATTTTTTTCAGGTCTGATTTTCGCTATTGTGTAAATAGCGCTCTTTACTGCGAGGATCGTGCATCATACGTATCTAATACCGCAGTTCGAAATATATGAACTTCATATATTCATTGTATCTGATTAAAATATATTCTTTAATAACAAGTTTGACTGCACAGCGGAAATGACTTGAAGAGCATACATATACAAAAACAATGAAAAACAATACGATAAGTTAGAAGCAGAGGAGCATGAAAGAAGAGTAGGGGAAACACAAGACATACGAAAAAAAGTATTTATTTTTCCATAAATTTCATCTGGGACATACGAAAAAATGTATTTAGTTTTCCTTGAATTTCATCAGACTCGCCAACCAGCCTTGCCCCAAGTTCAAGAAGTGCATTCTTCTCAGATAATGCATTGTGGATCATTTTAACTGCCGTCCTGGGAGTGCTTTTCATTGTGGCAGTTATTATCATCATAGTCTTTTATAAACGAAGAAAAGCGAGAGAACATGGAGGTGGGTTGTTCTTAAAATGAAATGGCTGTATTTTGAAGTTTTAGTCTTCTGTTATAGGGCTGTGATGCTGTAAATTAAGTTGGCTAACAGATGATTTGCTCATTGAGACTAATTCATGCTAAATTTTAAAACAGTTTAAGTTGATTAAGTTTCATGGTCAAAGATATACGTGGCAAGACCTTTAGATTTTAGGGAGACTAAGAAATCTTTGATTCGCTGTATAACATTTGACTGAGTATGCTCAACAGGTTTTTATCTGGTATTTCTGACACACTTCTTCTTGTCATCCTTTAGAGAGATCGGATGCCACGGAGGAAACTCCACGATACCTGGATGTATGCCAAAGTAACTCATTCGCACCTCGGACGAATGCGACCGAAGTTGCAGGCGGAAAGAAACCAAGGAGACGTGCTACTCTCCCTCCCCTCCCCCAGTATCAAGCCCTTGACCCAACAACTACGGCAATGCCAAGTTATGAACCAATAGACACTGAACAGGACCTCAATGATGGCGGGTTGTATGAGAAGTTAGATTTTAGGTCCATGAAAAGTGGCCATGAATATGTTTATCCTGAGCGACCTATTCCGGAATATCTCGAGCTTGTAAATGACACCCAGGTGCCACCTGGAAATACCGCGTCAAATGCTCAAACGAAGGGGCCTGGAAAATACTGTTATATACCAATTGAAAATGGCGACTCCATTAATGTTTTAAATAATTCTTCGCCACAAGACTACGTCTCGATCGAAAACGGAATGCACAGCAAAGCCTTAAATAACTCGACGCCACAGGATTATGTTCCAATGGATGCATCGAATATGAGAAATAATCCATCTTTGCCTATGGCGGGAAGATCTGATGGATCAGCTGTTGAAACTAGAGATCGAACTTCCTCAGGAGACTNTCTCACCAAAATATTTTTGTTTTTGTCTCTCGTATTTTTTAATTTCTTTTTACCTTTTGAACTCGGATCTCTGACTTTAGAATATATGAAAATCATACCGGCATGCACTGCGTTATTAAGAAATGTATATGAATGCGATCCTCGTAGTAATGAACACTACTTAAGTAGTAGCGAAAAGAAGGCCTGAAAAAAATAAAGCCTGTACGGGATTCGAACCCATGACCTCTGTTATCATTATATTTCATATATTAGAATGAACTGCTATGAACTTCTTCTATAGTATAGTGTTCGTTGTTTTTCCCAAATGGAATGTTAGCCTTGGTAGGAGGAGGTTTTGAATATCAACGGACTCGCCTTGTTTTCTACCTTACGGTTTAATTTTTGGATCTTGATTACAAACTTTTTTTACTTACTTCGGAAATTTTCAAAAGCTTCGTTGGTAAGTTGTCCTCGAATGAGTCCTTGGAGCTAATAAAAAACGAAATAATTATCATATAATTATCAATTTAACTAGCCGCTTATTCGTTTACAAATTTTACCTAAAGCTTGGGGGGACCAATGTGTAACTGCTAGGATTTGTTTCGAGTGAATTGCAAAGCTTTGTGTTTATTTTCCAGGGAGAGTAACACCATGATGTCTTTCGTAGTAGCTTCGATTATATTCGGAGAATCCCGAGTAGTTCCGAAGGAGATCCGTAGAGTTTCGACAAAGCCTCCTTAATGATTCTCTTCCTTCTAATCGCGCACGCAGCGAAATAATAGCGATATTTTGCACATATTTCTCTTATTGAATCGAGATTGCTATTTACTAAGGGTTAACCTGACAGTTTTGTTGCGTTAATATATTTTTTCTGTCTGGCCTGAGATTTGAGGAGAGGAAAAGTAAAGAAAAAGCTGACGAGTGATCTTATTTTTCGATTTGCTGTCACTGGAGTTGACTGGTGTGCTCGTGCATGAAAATGTGTGAGGGTAAAAGAGATATTTACTCACCCTTAATATGATTCGAGTGAGAGAAATGAGTAAATCAGTAAGAACCCTGTTAACAAGAATATGATATAGCATGTTAAATTTAAGAGTAAATATGTCGATCAAATGGTCCACTGATTTGCCAGGTCCGTCATGATGATGGTCTAAAACAAACTCATCAGACGTTAAGCTATCTGCCCATAGGATAAATCTAGAAAGTGTTTCCTGTGTATGAAAAAGAATAATATCAGCCGAAATTTTTCTAAAACAGGCGCAGCATACTAAATACGATGTTTATGCACACTCGTAGTAAAAACCAAGTTGGTTGACATGAAGCAATTAGATGTGGAACTTACCTTCGAACTTCCGTTGGGAGGGTCACAAATGGGGTATTTGATGGTGGTCGCGCTGTGTTGGGCAAGGTTACGTTATTGAAAGGAGTAAAAGATGTAGGGCGAGGCACTGAAAAACGAAATGTTAACTGTTAATGTTATTATACGCGAGCATACTTCACTGTTTTTTCAAGCCTTTGTCGGTGGTTTAAAAGTTTTGCAGACCAAACCCTTACAACACCATGGACATATTATACGCCAAAAACGCAATGAAATGTTCTCTTGCATACATCGAAAACCATATTTTATTGGAATGGACATACACAGAGGCCAGTCTTGGGCAAATTACCTTCAATTTAAAGACAAATACAAAACATAAACTCANTAAACCTTTCAAACTGTAGACTCAAAACGCTGTCGGTGGGGATTCGAAGAGTCCACAGGCAGTTCAAATTATTTGAGTAAGAAAATGGATATCCAGGAGATGCAAATGTTCCCCTTGTACTGTTTAGTAGCCCTCCACATCCTAGAAAAAATCATCATGCAAGAAATTTCGAGCAAGTGAATTATTTGTATTGCCAAAGTAGGGCTCTTACTTGTTGTAGAAGAAAAAGTTAATGTTAAGAGTAGAGAACAAAAAGAGAAAAGTGTGGTTAAAATAATGCGAAAAAAAAAAAAGATGTAAGTTTGTAAAGAAACTGTGCTGTTGCGTCGGTGGAAGTAAAATGGTAATTTTGGTTTTATCAACTGAGTTGATAATGTTAATCGACCACCGTAAAGCGTTCCAAACCTAACGTTTGAATTGTTAGTCTTTCGATAAAGCGAATGAAAAAAAAAGATAGGTTTATGAGGCCGTGATCGATTGTGACGTGTCTTGTGTGTTCTACACTAAGAAGGAGCCCAAAGTGTTAAACAGATAGCTTTATCTTTTAATATCTGTACACCGCAAGCAAAAAAATGATAAAAAAGGTTAATTGTTTTTGCTGGAGGAGTTTTACTTTAATATAAAACGAAATTCTTTGAATAGGTCTTCAAGGAATGTCAAAAGTGTAGGTGGGTAAAACTAAGAATTTTTGTATCAACCCTGGGTTCATTTTAACAATGCGGTGAGTTAGTCGATTGAATTATGCACTATTAGGAAAGGTAGGATTGCAGAGGGATGCTGAAAGAACTCGCCTCTAACCGTTTCAGCCCGGCTGAGCTGCATCTTTAAACCAGGGCCTCCAAATCTGAGTGCCTTTGATTGCGTAGACTGACTTATATCAAAAAATTAAATGAGTACCGTAATTTTTGCAAATTTGAGAATTCAAAGTTTACATACTTGTAAACGGTGGCTGGGAAGGCACTTGAGAAGAAAGAGACGATGTTACATCAACTACTCCAGAGGCTGATGATGGTGTTGGCCGCAGTGTCGCTGATGGAAAACCTAAAGATAAAGAATACCAAACCCTTAGGCTGTGATATCAAGTACAATCGTGTCTATCGACGTAGAAAGTTAATTTTCAGTTGGCGTGGTAACGTTGTTCTGTCAATCAGTTTCGCTTTTATTCCGCCATCCTGCAGCTTTCTCAGCTTTTTTACACTGTAATAGTGATTTAATAACTTGCCAGGTGGACGAGTCGCTGTAGGCGTAATGGCCGGTATTAGAAGGAAGTTTCTGAGACCCCTGGATCTGACGCCGTGTAAAGTGAATAGGCCTCACTAGGCGTTATTCGTTTTATGGTATGCTCGTATAGGGAAAATCGTGTTTACCTACAACTACTAAGGTTTGCGAAAGATTAGGGTAATCAGCAAATAAAGACACAAGAAGCCTTAGTCATGTTTAACTACTTCAAGAATTTAGAATTTTCTCACCAAATATTATGATGTAGCGAGCGAAGAAACCTGGTCTTACGACAGATCTATCAGTTGTAAATGTAATATTGAGAACTGGACTTCTGTCGCCTCTAACTGTAATGCTGAATCCATTCCTAAAACCACTCAGTCTTGCTAACCGCCCAGTGCTGACTGTCAGCTCAACAAAATCACAGCTGCAACGAAAAAGAAAGAAAGGGAAAGCATTAGGCCGCAATTTCGATTTCAAATCTTTTTCCTTGCGTTTCTTTGCCACATTTACCTTGCAGTGTTATAGGAAGCCAAGTGCTAAGGCAAATTTCAAGTAAAGTGAGAAACTCCTCTGTGGTCATAAACAAAGCTAAAGTAGTCTTTCCTGACAAATGCACTTTGAATTCCAAGAATATTTATGCGAATGATCAAGTCACAGCTCATTGCAGCTCGGCATCTCATTGGTTAACAGGTTTGAGCAAGTTTTTTTTATCAGAACTTATCATGGTAAAGCAAAAGGAGTCCGATTTTACTTTTAACAAAATTAAAAGTTTCTCTACAAGCACAGTTATACTCATGATTATTGGATGTACATACCACTGCTCTGTGTTAAACCTTTCAAACTGTAGACTCAAAACGCTGTCGGTGGGGATACGAAGAGTCCACAGGCAGTTCAAATTATTTGAGTAAGAAAATGGATATCCA